ATATGTTTTCTGTCAATGTCAGGACACCGCTCTAACTTTTTAAAAACTTTGTGATATTAACAAACTACAAACACATGATTGAAATGTGCTGGGATTTGCTTGACACATGTCAGTATGAAGAGGGGTGATATTTAATATTGATGTCTATGGTGTTTTTTAAAAATACAGGGTCAGAAAGATGACAAAGGAAAAGAAAAAAACAGGTCAAAATAAAAAGTGTTCAGTGATTTTAATTACAGCCATAAAATTATTTCCTTAAAGAAGTGACTTGCCTAACTTTCACGAGCCAACGTGTCGTAAATAGACTGTCAAGTCATTGTTTTGTTGAAAATAGCTAAATAAAACTAGTAGATTTGATCATATGTCATATTCTTTGTACAATATAGAGCTTTAAATGTATTTTAGATTTTCAATGTTCTGATTGTTTTCCATTTTCAATGTGTTTTTTATGTTTCTTGTTGTAAAGTTCAAACTTTTTTTTTTAAGAGTCTATTTTTCTACTGAAATAAGCTCCTTGAATCTCCTCTAACTCCTATGCCATAATTTAAAAATACTTACACAAATATGCACATGAGAAAACATTCCTGCCTCTAATTTAGAAAAAAATCGATCCACATTTATATTAAAGCTAGTGCAGTTAGTGAAGTTATTATTGCAGTTGGTATGAATGACTTAAATTTAGTTTTTAGTGAATTAATGCATTTGTGGCACCCAGTTAAAGTTAAAGCACATGGTAAAATGACATAAAGCAAAATAGAGATAGAAGAAAAGAGAGAGCTGTAGTGGAGAAGACGTTTTTCTTTTTTGTCCCTTTTCTCCTTGGTGGTACTTCCCCACAGTAAATGAATGAGAAAGAGAAAGTGTGTATAAGTCCATGTGTGTGAGAAAGGGAACAAACAAGATAGCGCCAGAAACCTCGCAAGGCCTGTGTTGTCTCTGTGTGTATGTGTGTGTGTGTGTGTGTGTGTGTGTGTGTGTGTGTGTGTGTGTGTGTGTGTGTGTGTGTGTGTGTGTGTGTGTGTGTGTGTGTACTTGCACAGAGGCCCTCCCTGCTCTCCTCTGCTCCTCCTCCTGTTTGTGAGGAGTCGACAGTATCTGAGGGAGCGTGCGGTGCTAGATTGATGTGTACCGCCGGCGTGGCCGTTTCTACTGAGAACGGCCACACTCCTCCACCTAATGATGCCACATCCATCCTGGAGCGCCGGGTGCTACATGGATAGGTGTTTGTGTGTGTGTGTATGTGACTCTGTGTGTGTGTTGCTTGTGTGTCCATGAGGCGTCTGTCCTGAGGGCTACAACGCAGCACCTTGCAACGCCTCTGATCACTCTTTATTTGGCACCGAGCATGTGTGTGTACGTGTATGTGTGTGTGAGAGAGAGAGTGAAGGGTCCTATGTGCCCATTAATATTAAATATAGATACCCTTGTCAGAGAATTACATCCTCTGATCCCATATCCTCCTCTTAGGGAGAGGAGGTGAGGAGGGAGGAGACACGGGAGGTGAGAGAAGGGGGAGATGGAGAGAGGAAAGGAGAAGAGGAGGGCAGGAGGTGGACAGAGAGAGGAAAGAGGAACAGTTAAAGGATATAGGGGAGAGTAAGGATGAAGGAGGTAGAGGAGAAGCAGAGGAGGGCATGGTGAGGAAGAGTTTCAAGGAGAAGAGGCGCTAGGAAAGGGAAGAAAACAAATAAAGTAAAGAAACTTATGAAAAGGAACAAAGCATAGGTGTGGAGTGGACAGAAACAAAAGGTATGGACAGGTACGGAGATAAAAACAGCTGGCAAACTAAACTGAGAAGTAAACAGTTGAAAATAAAGTGAAAATAAGGAAGAAGGAGGAGTATCAAGCTAAAGATTAACAATGAAAGAAATGGATGCAAATGTAGAGAGAAGGAGGGGGTAGAAAGGGGCGAAATGTGTGGAAAGAGGGACTACAGGGGGGACTAAGGGGTTTAAGGATGGATGGAGGGAGAAAGGAGGGGGCAGCTGATTGATTGTGCAGAGTGTTAGAGACTTGAGGAAAGAGGGATGAGAAGAGGGGGAAAGGGAAAAGAAAACAGAGGAGTGAATCCATCACGTGAAGAGAGGAAAGAAAAGACAGATTTTGGCATGCAAAGATGGAGAACAGAGAGGTAAAAAAAAAAAAGATCGGAAAAAGAGAGGTGGAGTGGGGAAAAGTCAAATACAAGAGGAATAAAGCCGCGAGAAAGCGATGAAAAGAGACATCAACAGACAGAGGGATTAGTTAGATGAAGATGTAAGAGAGTAAGAAGTGATTGAGTGATGACGGATGGAGGAAAAACAACAGAGTGAACAGCAGCAGCTTTGACCTGTCATCTGTCTGTAATGAAGGAGAGAAGGGAGGAAGAGAGGAAAGGAGGAGTGACAGTTTGATTTTCCTAGTCGGGCGTTCATTCCCATATTCCCTGGCAAGCTCTCACCTGATGGAAAGATGGCAGAAAATCAATAGTCCATGTGCGTAATGGAGTAATGACTCTGTGTGTGTGTGTGTGTGTGTGTGTGTGTGTGTGTGTGTGTGTGTGTGTGTGTGTGTGTGTGTGTGTGTGTGTGTGTGTGTGTGTGTGTGTAATGATAAGTGTGTGTGTATCTGACCAATCCCTAAGCAATCACACACAGCTTAAGCTAGTCCCGTGGGGTGGAGGCCACTTTAACTAACAACTTCATTACTGCAGCTACACACACCCACAGACACACACACACTTTCTCTATCACTAACCAAGCCCTGTCCAAACACTGTTGCTCATAAAGTAGAGACTTTTCATGAATTACAAACATCAATCAACCAGAAAGTTTTTAAAGTATCTTAACTACCATAAAGGTGTAAATATAAGGCCTTCCTAATTATAAGAAGACCCCCACCACCACCCACCCTTTTGAAGATTGATATCATTAAAAACTTACTGAAGACCAAATCTTATTTTTATTTCTATATGATGGTGATAGAAACCCTCTTAGCACATTTATATGTTGTTCAAAATGTATGTTTCTCACAGGTCTGACTTAAACTGGCCGTCTAAAATATGTAAAAACGTCAGTCCAAGTGAAATCACTGCCTCTTGCAAATGCACATGTTGATTGTTTTGGTGACGTAACAGGTAAAGCAGGGGACAGGCCAATAGTAACAAGCTGAAAGGGGGCTTATTGTGACCTGCTGTAGCAGAGGTGGACATACTTGAATCAATAAATTGATCCTTGCCAATGCTTGTAGACTGGCACAAGGACAGTCGTGGAGTTTCATCGTCTCAACAAGCTTTTACCCTAGCTTGACTTAACTGTGCATGTGAAAACACTGACTAAACAAAACAGTTGTTTTAACAGCTTCTGTAAAAGTTGTGTTTTCACTGTTTAGTTTAGTGGTAAACCATTGAAATATTCCATGAAAATCCAAAAAATGAAAATAACCCCATATTTACTGTTGGGCCATCTGTCCGAGTAAATAAACTGACATTCTGTATTAAGCCTCTATATACAGTTGGATGATCTCCAAGGCTTTCAGCTGGATAACGTCTCTAGTAATGGATATTCTTTATTCCACTTTCACATACACTCTTGTCAATCTCATTGGCCATGGGATTATTTTCTTCGACAATCAGCATTTTTTAATGAGTCTTTAGTGGTTACGCTTTTCAGTGACTCTACTTTTTGGGCTGTTTGACAGTCATTTAATCTCTGCTGTATTAATAACCTTAACCAAGAATCTCCATTATAATTCCACCTTGGTTAACTGGCATACTTGCAGAGCACTTTTTTTTCTGGACTATCACTGTGTCTGTCCACGCTTCACCCCACTGGTGCAGTAGTTGTGGGTGGTGGTGGCTGGCCTCAGTTATGAGGATTAAATTTACTTTACAGAGTTGTGTTGCTATCATTGTATATCATATTAGAATTAAAATGTGTAGATCTAGGGTACGAGACTATACTTCTTTTCCAGACGTATTTCTAGGGGATACAAGTTTCTTTTATTCCGATCAATGTACCTTTTTTTATATTTATTAATGATCACAAGTGTTGAGCATTGAAAAATGTATTTAAGTAGAAGAAGTTTTACGTCCATGATTATTGAGAATTCAGTAAATGTGGCATCTTTGTCACCAGCATAGACTGTATATACTATGGACAACTTGGTTCCGCTTTCCACCAGTATATGGATTTGAGGCCAAAAAGCTCTCAGTAATTCCATGTTTTCTCTTCATTTCCTGAAACCAACATTGCGCAGTAGCGTTGTATGCACTTCACCACTTGCGTAGTAGCATTGTGCGCATTTTGTGGGAGAGTCGCCGAGAGTCACTGTGATGATGCTCGGCTCAAACAGCATATCCCCCGGGTAAGCTACGTAATCCCTCCTATATACAGTCTATGGTCACCAGTGTCTGCTCGACACTCAATTGTGGTAGCTCATCACTGATATGGATAGAGAAAAACAATCTTTACTTTAAAAAAGTCTATGAAACAACCACAGTTCAGTTAAAGGGCTACAATTACAGTCCATGAGTATCAGCCTGGTGTCCCTTTGTGTGTGTGTGTTTATCCTAACAGCTCTCAAAGTGTTTCCAAGCTCTGCCAAGTTGTTCCGAGGCTGTGAAAACATTCCCAGTTCTGGGAATGCAAGGCCCAGGCCCATACACGCCCACAAAAGCACACACACACACACACACACACACACACACACACACACACATGCAGAGATGCACCTCAATCAACCAATTAGGTCATCAAGGGGATCTCTCATCACAAAAACAGGCTCTCTGCCATGTCCAAATGATGGGGAGCTGACGCACAAACACACTGACATGCGCACAGACACAGCCGTGATTCTCTCCTGGCTTCAAACTCAAGAGATCCACAGAACACAGAAACACGCACACACAGTTACAACTACACTGCCCCCTGTGAAAACACAACCACAAACACATGCGTGCCCCCCCTAACTCATTACGGGTCCACTGATCAAAAAGAATGATGCTCCCTGTAACTATTTACCAGAGGAGGATGGAGAGAAAAGAGGAATTTGGACAAAAGGCGGCCCGTTGCGGCTCGGCGGCGGCACAGACCGGCAGCTCATGGCGGCAGCCCCCTCTGTTTACTAGCGGCTAATTAATTCGCCACATATGCTGAGAACATCTGTCGCTAGTGACCTGCCGGGAGAGCAGAGGACGCACTGCTGCGACGTCCCACTCCCCCCCACCCCACTCTCATTAGCACACACACACACACACACACACACACACACACACACACACACACACACACACACACACACACACACACACACACACACACAAATATACAGTTTCATACACACACCAACACACTCTCACACAGACATGAATGAATGTGTGCACTTGTGTTGAGACACAAATAGCTTCACATACGTGTAGCTATGTAGGACTCAGTCATTTACCTAAAATTTATCAGAGATTAGAAGATCCGACCACTTAAAGCCCTTAAATGTGCAAATTTGCTTTTTAATGGTGCAACTGTCCACTGTAAGCATGTCAGGTAAATTATATTTTAATTTTTTTTTATTTCTTATATTACATTTTATACTCTATCTTAGGATGACTTAGTTGATGAGGTTACAAGGTTTTGGTTTAGAGTTCAGCAGCTGCAGCTCAACATGCTTAAAAGTGGTTTTCAGAATATTTTTATGAGGTGAGTGCAAACACATGAAAATAAAATAAAATCATCACAGCTGACAAAATAACACGAGTCAAGTCAATGTAATTTTGTATTCTGCATGGATGTTCATCAAAGTGCAGTCTGTTGAAGGGCAGCCAACTTTCAGAGTTGTCAAAAATCGAAGCGATGTGGATTGATATTCAGGTAAAACAAGACTTCAATGATTCCTTTGGTTTTGCCTTCTAAATCCAGTAAAAAGACATACAAAATCTACACAAATCTACACATTTAGACTAAGCCGAGTAAACCATGATGACAAAAGTGCTCCAAACTTGAAAACATGATCAAATAAACCACTCTGATGATAACATCTGTGATTCATATATTTAATTTTAGAATAATAACAGTTTTTATTTTCATGTTGCAAGATCTTATGACATTATGTGATCTTACTTTTGTTCTTTTGCACTAATGGAGGTGACAGTGAGTTTGTGGCTTCATACGTGTAAATGATGCTTCAGCTCCTGTATCTTAGCCTTTCTACAGCATTGAATCAAAGTACGTGCATCACCCACACCTTCAGTGAAATTAAAACACTTTTTTGTCTCCGCTCTCTGTCCTTCATGCCGCACTGTGCCGGAGCCAAACTTGGTGAAACAAAAAAAAAAAAAAAAAGTGAAGCCCTGTGAGTGTGTAAACCGCAGCAGCAGCAGAAAACTCCCACCAGCCAATCAGATTCATTAACCTCCACTATCCCACAATCCCCACGGGGGACATACAGAGACAAAGACAAACTCTCTCCCCCCCTTGTGTCCTGCATGTCCCCCTCTCTTCTTCCTCTCACACCCCATAACTCCCACCCAGTCTCCTGACGCGCTCTCACACACCAACCAACACTGGTTTCAACACAGGAGGATAAAGCACAGGTCTAACTCCCAGCAACTAAATAAAAAAGGACCGGAAGCTGTGACGCTGGGCCGCTTTTTGAGAAGTTTCTTCTTATTTGGGCTCTACGATCGGGGTCACAAGATGGCTTCAATGTTAATGACCTACACAGCCAAATCGTAGGTGAAGGTAGAAAGTGTTGACGCTTCACCTGTCCCTGACAACCTAGCAAAAATCTGATTAAAGCGTGAACATTTTCCGAGCTCTAACCCCCCCCCTTAACTCAACTCGAGGCCTCTAATGTGAGCAGCTTGCCAACACTCGCCGTAACTCAGTCACCCAACGGCTGTACAAGTCAACAAGTAAGCCACTCGGTGAAGCAGCCGACCGAGCATCCAGTCAGTCACAGAGCCACGCAGCCGGTGAGCCCCCCCACCTGTCCCTGCTAATTTGGTGAGGAATCAATTAAGGGTGTGTTTGCTGAGTTCTCCTTGCCTTCAGCTCATCTGCTCCTCTCTAATGCAATTGTCCTGTGTGCTGCGTGCAGAGCGGCATAATAAAGTGATAAGGCTAATCAGGTTGGCTGCTCCTCTCCTCTCCCCATACGCACACTACACTTATTCTATTAGATGTGTAATGAGATTCTGCACTCCATCAACACGATGCCGCGATGTGTGTGTGTGTGTGTGTGCATGTGTGTGTGTGGAAGTATGAAAGTGTGTGTGTATGTGTGTTTGGGCGCGAGAGCTTCTGTTCTTGCAGAGGAAATTTGCTCCATTTACATTCTATCATTAGCTTGAAACAAATGTGCCCTTGAGCTTAGCGCCCCTGTCTCTCTCGGCTGCAAACACTTTACTTTGGCAGGCGATCATAGTAGCATGCGCGTGCGCACGCAGACACATACGTACACACGCTTCCGAGTAAGACACTTCAGCTTATAATCGAATACAGAAATGCACAAACACACACTTAAACGAAACTAACAGCACAAAGTCTGACTCAAATGAACATGTAATGCAGCATGTGAGGGTGCGAGATCATTAGCTCGGGAATCATCTTACTTTTCATTATGTAGACAGGCAAACACACACACACACACACACACATACACACACACACACACACACACACACACTGGCTTTAACTTCAATCCATTCACTCATGCCTTCATTTATTCATCCATCTAACAACCCAATCTTACCTATCACACACACGCACACACTTACACACACCCCTTCCAGACAAGTAGAGAGAGTGATGGTGGAGTAGCTGTAGAGGACACGGGGCTCTATGATGTGTAGAACAGTTCTGGTCAATGGGCCAGATAATGAGTTGCCATAAACAGCAGCAGTCTTCCACTGTCCAGCTCAGCTCATTACCGTAGCTAGCATATGTAATCAGTGTGTTGCTGGGGCGTGTCTTAATGTACTCCACTCTGCTGTTTCTCAAAGACAGGCCCGGGCCCACAGGGTGGGTCACGCGAAGGTAAGAACGGATCAGAGGATCATCCTCGGGAAACATGGGTGATTGGTATTCAAAGCTGCAAACACAGGCCGAGTACAGGATTCTCATTTCCTGTTAATGTAATTTAGGCTAAATAAGCTACTAAGGAGTGTATTAAGAAGTGCAAAATACTCCATTTTAGTAGGTAAATATGTGTTATGAGAAGCAGAGCTTTGAGCCAATATGTCTGTAATGTTCTTGTCTGGAGCAGTATAGGAAGAACAAGCTCATACAGTCCCTCTTCTGTGATTGACTTCATTAACATAAATCAGTGGGAAGACAAAACAACAGAGGGTTTGCAGTATATGGGTATTTTGGAGGCCAGAAAGCTGTCACAGAGACATAATTAGAAAACACACGCACACACTGTCACACACATACAAACACAATATCAAGCTGTGCACATCCTCATTAACTCCTTGAGTATGATAAAACACGATTCCCTCTCATCCCACCCAAGATTCCATAAAGAGGAGATAGTATTTCAAGCTGCCGACACTAAATCTCTAATTATAACTTTATTTGAAGAAAACAAGGGAGCACTTAATAAGCAAATGAGAGTGATAATAACTTGGAATATGGATTGGACCTAACAGAGTAGATTATAGGGGTGAACCCCCGCTGAGAGGGAGAGAGAGAGTCGTAAATAATGTGACAGAATGAGTAAATTATGAGGCTAAATACTCAAAGCTGTAATTATGGCGCTCTTTGAAATGAAGACATGAGTGGCTGTGAGGATGATCGGATAAAAGAAAGTTAACTGCTTTCCTCGTTCGCTGTTATTCACACTCAGCAGACACACTTCAGCGTCTCTGTCTGCCTTGTACTCGTTCTCTTTTGGTCTGAGTCTTTCTGTGTTTTATTTAACCAGGTTCAGAAAAGAGTTGGTAGCGATCATTCAATGAGCAGATAAAGATCTGAAAGTTTCTTCCGGTTGGTTTAAACTCTTATTGTGAGGATAATTTGACCCATTGTTAAGACTAGTATGCTAACAACAAAAGTCTTTAACAACTTTGTGGTTTCTGTGAGCCTGAAAGGAAACAGCTCTAGTGTGTCATCAGGGTCATCTTTAACTTGACAGTTTATATTTTTTTACAAAATCCTGCCATTAAGGCTGTAGTCGTATGGGGAGAGAGAAGTATTTCAAGAAAATTTGTCACAAATAATATCAGTAAACACACAAATAGGGCAAGACCAGGTTTTTGTGTTTCAGAAAACTAGGAAAGTAAAACTTGAGATGTCCGTCCTCAACTGCATTAACTCTGACTGTTGAATAACGTATCAATCTCTGGAAAGGCTTCACTCTCTCCTTTGATTTAGAATATTGAAATAAACACTGTACAGTAAGCAGAACTACAGTACAGATGACAAATGTATTGATAGAGAGGCATTGATGTCAAGAAGCTCTATCTGTGGACTAAAGTTACTTATCGCTGCCTTACCAAATTTCTGTGATAGTAAAGGTTTGGTCAAACTTTGGTTTAAGTTAGGTACAGCTCATGACATGGGTTCAATTAACTAAACAATTAGCTCTACTGTTAGTTAAACAATAATAACCAACTAGGATAAATTATTAAAGAAACTAAAACCAGCTGATATTTTTTCATTCATCCATCCCTCCAGACTTCATCTCTCTGCAAACTTTGTTGTTTTGTAGATAATTATCCGATCCAAAATGTAATTTCTAAATGTAATTTCTAAGCATCTTTCATGTAGTTTGCTGAGGGAAAAAATGCAGTTTAAAGCCCTTGGGGTCATAAAGTTGATAGATTATAGACGACCTATTGCTGATGCTTTGTTTTCTTTCCTTTTTTTAGTCTTTCCAGTTTCTGTTTTTCTCCCTGTCATGTTTGTTTGCTCATCACTCCTGTAAGGGACTGGTGAGAGTACACCTGCTGGTAGCTGACAATGTTAAAGGGATATTCCGGCGTAAAATTAAGTTAGAGTCAAGCACACCACAACACCGAGTTCGACACCCCCTTGAGAGATGAATGTTGCTGACCGCTTGCTTCTCTAGTTATATCAACCTTAGTAACGACCGCACGATAGCAATACACAGGGGTCTACGGCTCCACGCGCAAACTTCAACCAAAAAGCCACTCTATAGCCACAAATAATGCTCAGAACAGCATCTAACTTCATCAACAGTACAAATAGGGTCCCAGCCGTAGCACTAGCCACCAAAATTCTTTTTAACTTTGCTTGATTTATTTAGCAAAGAGACTAAACACAACTCACCTACTCTCTTCCAGCAGCCGCTTGTTTGTGGGGGAGCCCTGACAAGTTGATCACCGAGTATTTATAAAGACTGCGCTGTACTTTTGTAGAGTCTTATTGAATGCCTTTATTTACTGTAGGTGCTTCCACCTTAGTGACTATATTTTTGCATATTCAAGGATATGTTAATTAACTTGCACTGTCCCTGTCAAATAAAATAAACAAAGAAAAGATAAAATCAAGTAAGTTACCCACATACCTGGTGATCCTGTGTCATCATAAATCATGCTTAATTTAGACTTTGTTTTTAGACCAGCAGGTTGGAAGATATTAAAATTTTGTTTTTAACAATTAGAAAATACAACTCTTAGGAACATTCTTTACTTTTTCCCATCTTTGGTTAAATGTGAAGTGTAGTCAGGGAGTTTTAGCTAGTGTTACGCACAGAGCATGAGTAACTGTTATTTAATTTGACAGACAGATATGAAGACCTCAAACCCACCGCATCATTAAATAAAATCATGTATGTTAACCCGTTGGGCTTTGTGAAAGACTAGCAATCCTGTTTAATCTTGCACCACAAATCAGAGCAGTTGTACAATATTTATGAATTGGTGGAAGTGTTATGACTTTTCATCCTAAATTTAACACTTGATCCCCAGCTCTCACCGTGTCTCTTCACTGTTCGTCTATCACACTTTCTTTCTGTATATCTTTTCATTCCTCTCCGTCTTCTTTCTGTTTCTACGCTGTTCTCAAATCTCTTTAGATTTGTCTCCTGCTCCAGGATCTGAAATTGACTTGTAAAGAGGAGACAAGTATTCACAGAGGGTTTAGCCATTCAAGGTTGATTTCATTTTATCGCTATCAGGGCTGTCTGTCTGTTTGCATGTTAAAGATATGAGCTGAGTGTGCACACATGTGAGTGTGTGTTACTGTGTGCTTTGTGTCTCTGCCATTCAGCCAGCTGTACATATGTCACACAATCTCCCTTTCTATACATGGTTATATTTGACATATGCTTAACTGGGGCTGGGGGGATCGCTCATGGCACTGTGTGTGTGTGTGTATGCAGGTGTGTGTGTGTGTGTGTGCATGTGTATGTGTGTGTGCGTGTGTATGTGTGTGTGTCCCTGAGCAGCCGCCTGTGCTCCTGTACCAAACCAATGAAGTTGTCTGAGAATGACAGCTTCATTATCTTGTATGAAAGTGGGACAAATGGAGGCTTGTCTCTCTATCACTCTGCGTGTAAGTATACAAATCTTCACACATGCGCGCGCACACACACACACACACACACACACACACACACAGAGCAACTTTTCTCACCTTTATTTCTTGTCATATCGTGGTTCAGTCCTGCCTTTCTCCCTCTCTCTGTTAACGTTTTTGTCGTGTGTGTGTGTGTGTGTGTGTGTGTGTGTGTGTGTGTGTGTGTGTGTGTGTGTGTGTGTGTGTGTGTGTGTGTGTTGGCAGCTGGGACTGGTAAGTGATGACTGTGTCTAAATGTTGATCACAGGGAGATGCTCTGTTGTTCTGAAATGAGGTGGTAGGGAAAATGTGTGTGTGTGTGTGTGTGTGTGTGTGTGTGTGTGTGTGTGCGCGTTTCGTTTCAGGGGTTCCTGGCAGATGTCAAACAGTTGAAGCCTCACACAGACATGCTGACAACTCTCTTAGTAACTGGGCACCTTAGGGGGGCCAGACAGGTGTGTGTTTGTGTGTGAGTGTGTGAAACAGACGTGACCTACCCCCCTCCATCCCATCCCATCTGCATCCTCACATCTGACAGGGGCATCACACCAGGCCAATCCACCCGTCCATGTGTGTGTGGTGCTTCATATCCAATAGAAAGGTAATAGTATGTAAATGACCCCACATATGTCATCTATGAGAAGATGGGGCTGAACACACACACACACACGGACCCACACACACTCTCTGCCCTCAGGGTTGGGGGGGTCTCGGCCCCTGTCTGATTTCTTTGGGTCAGTTTCTCACTCTTCTGACAGGGTCACGCACCTCTCCTCTCATTATTAACCCGCGCTGAAAAACGCCACATAGCCACTGAGTGTATATCAAGGTGTGTGTGAGTGATTTAAAGAGAGAGGGTGAGGAAAGAGGAGAGAGGGTGTGCGTTGAAAAAATAAAGATTGAGAGACTGAGGTGTGTGTAAGAGTGTATGAAGAGGAAGGTAGAGGGACTCACCGCTCTGTCGTGCGTGCGTGCGTGCGTGCGTGTGTCCACGGGGCATTACCTATCACATTAGTGATATGACAGACTGCCCAGCCTCCTCTCTCATTTCCTGTCAATCAAGCAGAGAACATCACATTCAGCTAACAATAACTCACTCTAAAGAGAAAAAACACCCAATTACAGCTTCAACATGCTGCCTCTTGTGCTTTAGGACAGTTTAATGTATATCTCTATGAACATTCAGCTCCATTTAGTAGCCTTCGCCCTCATGTCTCTCATCTGCAGTCATATCCCTGCAGCCATTTCTTGTCCCGTAGAGGCAGCTTCTACTTTAACTTGGCTACAAGGGGGAGGAAGAATCTGATAATAGGTGTAGTGAATATGTGAGTTATCATTTGTCACTGAGGTTTTTTTTTATAAACTGATGCAGGAAAATAGAAGTATTGTTACAGAAAGAAAAGTGTGTGTGTGTCTGTGTGTTGGTATGTGTGTGAACAAGCATCCTCAGAATCTTTCCTTTTGCTCCCATGATTCACAGCGTGCTGTTAGATTTATAAAAAAGAAAAAAATCAAATCCTCTCTAAAATCCATCACAGTTACTGACAGGATTAGAGTGTGTGTGTGAGGTGACAGGTGATGAGAGAGTCCTGCACTGTGGTCACTGCTGATACACAATAGGATTATGACCAACACCTACCGGTGCATATGTGTGTGTGTGTGTGTGTGTGAGTGTACAAGTGTGTGTGTGTCTGTGTGCAAGTAAGCAGTGACCAACAGGAAAGGCTGCTGAATGATAAACAGAGACTACATCCGTCTTTGTTCCCCCTCGTCTTTGTCTTTATCTATCACTCCATCTATCTCACCAACCATCTGGACCCTCTGCACTCCCCCCAACCCCCTACCCATCGGCCTTAACACAAGCACACACACATATGTATACACATGTTCACACGTATACATACTGTATGTACTGAGTGATCTGTGTGCACCCTTGTTCGTTGAAGAAGCTCAGTTATGCTTTCTTTGTTATTTTAGACAGAATGATATATTTAATTTTGCTTCGACTTTATTATGCAAAATTTGAAGGAAATTAAATTGCTGAGAAAAGCATATTTAGAGGAATTTTTGCAGGACCGTGACTTGGGGGTAAAATAATATCACACTATGAACAATTAAAGAGTAACCACTTTCTATCACATACTTCTATGTTGCCTTTTTTTTTCTTGTTAAGTTATTTTAGAGCCAAACATGATGTTTTTAATGTTTAAAAGACATTGTTGTTGCTATGAATAAGAATTTAATATTCTGCAAATTGGAGAAAAGCTCCTCCTGTGAAAAGATTTTGACTGGCTACAAAGAGACTAAACATATACTGAAGGACCAACATGATCTGCGACAGGAAACAACATCATTAGTGACAATATTGATCAGTTCTTATTATTATTATTATTGTTATTACTAAAAGCATTTGATGATTCTGAACAAATCAAGATAAGCAAGGGACTAAAGAAAACACTTGTCAAGAGGGGGAGCCAGAGGCAATACAAACTAAAAGGTTCTTACAAGAACTTTTGTAAGTAATGTCAAATATAGCTTCAATTAAACTATTTATTGGTATTATGTTTAAACTAAGCCTGTGTGAATTGGGTGTGCACTTCATTTCCAACTAGAAATAATTGAAGGTGAAAAGATGTAGCTGTTCGTGTTCACACACGCAGCTCTGCTGAATTTTACAGGAGTTGATTTCAGGTGTGGGAGGAGTTTAAGAGACTCTTGGTGGCTGCTTTGTGAATACCAAGCAGAAACCTCAGGTCTAGAGATATGAAACTGATGTGGGAGTGTTAAAAACTACCGTTACCCAAGTGCGTACTTCAGGCTGGCAGCAGAAGCACTGGGAACCACAATGACACCAAGCTAAAAGGAAGCCAATATTAATGCAAAATTAGACACATTTACAGCCTGGTTTAGTCTGAATTGCTCAGAGCTCCTATGACACCCACAGTATGTGAAATAAATTTTTTGGTCCCATTAAGTTATTAAGGTTACAAGATCAGTGAACCAGAGGCACAGCTGACTTGACTAGCCTCCTTGCAAATGGCTGCGAAATCGGCGGCGGAAACAAGATGGTTAACTCTACGAAGGTTATTTTACCGTTTGCCTTGTCCTTGTTATATTCTGACAAGGCAAGCGCAAAAATAACTTAGAAGTAACTAGAGGTAGCCATCTTGTTTCCGCCTCTGATTTTGCCTTTCTCCGACTTGGTAACTGAAATGCTCGTAACTTGAGTGTGGCGTCATTTTCAGCTATGACATCTGACTTCCAAGGTAACTCGAACGCAGCATTAGCCTCAGGATTAATGTCGATCTCTGGCTGATTGACCAAAATTAGGTTGAGCAATATGGCCACTGCTGCCAATAGGTGTCAAAATCCACTTCACAAGCAGGATGTCACTGATGCTACTACTAGTTGGTATACAGTCTATGGTGAATGCACAGTAAATATCAGCTGAAGTGTGTATGAGAGTTCAGACAGTGCAGAGCACAGTAACAAAGTGCAAACATGCTATGTTATATAAGCAATGTTTTGCACAAGTTTAGAGTGCGTCTCAATATGTTTTTATAATGACAATGTCTGAACATGTGTTGTGGTGTGTGTTTGCATGCGTGCATGTGTTTGTATGTGTGTCTCCGGCCCCCCAGGCTCACTCCATCAACCTCCCCTCACCACCAGCTGTCTCCCCTCATTTACATACTCTCTCCTCCCACTAATGGAATTAGCCACAAGTTTCCTGAGGTGAGGCAACACACAAACACACACATAGACTTGTAGACACAAGTGTGTGCAATTTATGAGTGTGTATGTAAAAGATATTTTGGTTGTGATGTGTTATTGGGGACTGGCTGGGAAGGTCAATCAGAAGACACAAGAAGATTCAGCCCCATCCAAAACTGTGAGAAAACGAGAACTCCCTAGTGCTCTGCCCATCACAGTGAAAAGTTTTGATATTAGTAAGCCCTAAAAAAAGAAAAGAAGAAAAAAGGAATAGAAACAGTGAAACACTAATTAATCCAGGAGTGATGTGTAGAGGACTAAAAAGTTGATAGTGAGTTCACAACTGTACCTGTTATGTCCAGCTTCCTTTGCAGAGTGGCTCTGATCAAGTTTCATGTGCATACTGAAATAAACACACAAATTACAAGTTAAAGTTTCAGTAGACTAAACTCACTCCCTTTCACAGCATTAATTAACACAGTTCAAACTAATTGTGATTCTTAACTCCAAATTATGGTTGAAGCTTAGTCGCTCCCTTCGACACTTCATGGCCTTGTTGCTCCTCTTCAGGTGCTCACATGACAACTTTCTGTCATTAACAAAAAGACAAATATCTGATCAATAACAACTATAATCACTTGATGGTTCCTTTCATCCTTTAGGATTAAGATCTCCCACGTCTAGAGCAGAGGTTAAATGAACTTAAGTCTTTGGAATAAATAAAAAAACACAGGTGTCTTAAGTAGAAGCTGCATCTGTGTTTTCCATTTTATAGTTTGTTTACTGTTCAGTTTGCTGTCAGTAACTGTGATGTTAGCAACATCGCTCTGCTTTTCTTGGTAGATGCTACCATCACCTTGAAAAAGTTTCATAGGTCCGAACAAGTGACCTCCGCGGCCTTTTCCTCCTTCTTTTTTGCTGTCTCCTCTGCCCCTCTCTGCCGATGGTGCTCTGCTTCCTTTTGTTTTGTCCTCCATCACTCTGTCAGCAGGTCCCGTCCATCAATACACAACTGTCAGTCACTGGAGTGACAATTGGCAGCCGTCGATATGGTGTAGAGGTCCGACAGTCTGTACACAGGCTTCAATTCCTAAAATGCTATCAGCTGCCAATACAAAAACACACATACACACACTGACACATACACGGCTTGACATGCACAAAAGCAAAAGACACACACACACACACACACACACACACACAGGCCCTTTTCTCTTTGCATCCTCATCACACCTGATCATCGCTGACACAGGAAAATTTGGTTCAGTAGCAACGAGATCAGATCAGATGAGGAAACAAAGAACCACCTTCTGACTATTCAATCTTTGGCACACACACACGCACACACACACACACACACACACACACACAGTCTGAATCTCACAGATAAAGGTCTATGACACAGACTGGAGTCACTGACACATGGCTCCCTCTACTGGAGACCTGTAAGACCTTTGACAATGACATTCAGTCCCTGGTTACACTGTCGCACATTAACATTCATTAATTGGTTCAATCATCCATCTATTCATTAAACACTCCTCCCTCTCTCCTTCCTTATTCCATCACTCCATCAAACTCTTCTTCTCTCTCCCCATTCCTCACATCAGAGCCTGCAGGCTTTAAAATCATTTTCTGTTTCCTTTGCAAATTTTTGGTTTTCCTCTTTCATGTACTTAATGCCTGGTGTATTTCTATAAAGCACGATCAAAGCTTCTTCCTGGTTTAGGTTAAAGAGTTGAAAAGTTTGTCCCTGTCTGCATATGTCAGGCTTTTTTCAGCAACAATGACCAAAAAGGTCAAATCCTAGTTTCAATTCTACCAGGCTGCAAGAAATACAGCAGGTTAAAACAGAATTTCTATTTTAGTCAAACTGATTTTAGGTTTTATCTGATCAATAGACATCTGCAGTAAGATGCTGCAGATGTTTTATCAGTCTGCGGTGGCAAGTGGTCTGTTCTTCACTGCATTCTGCTGGGGAGGAAGCATCAAACACAAAGATGCAAGACGTCTTAACTAACTGGGGTAAAAGGCTGGCTCTGTGGTAGGACTCAAAGTTGACTCAGTGGAGGATGTGGTGGAGAGATCTACACTGAGGAAGGTGGAGACTATTCCAATGAACATGGATCACTCACTTCACAACACCTTGATGGACCAAAGGACAAATGGTGGTGGACGGCTCCTCTCTCTTCGCTGCAGGACAGAAAGATTCAGAAGATCTTTTGTACCAACAGCCATCAGACTTTATAACTCTTGTGTAAATAACAGATAACTTTTAGAGACATATTTTGTGAGACAACAGACAATTGAATTTTCCTTCAGGGATTAATAAAGTTCTTCTTATTCTTATTCTTTTTGGGATCAATGTGCATCCTAATATCATTGCATCTCCAAGCTCTGAAATACGAAACATACAGCATCATAATTTAGGATTACACCCACTTCTTTGGAGAAACAGGTTTTAGGCGATACATTTTATTGCATTCTTCATCTTCTAAGAGCTTTAATTTCCAGAGACATGACTGTCAAGATTCAATCCCTCAAAACAAAGGTAATCTGTGTTGATTTGTGAATCTGTTTTATTGAAAAAGTCTTATTTCTGATGAGACTCTGTCATCCAGACCAATCAGAGGCTGCCATCTTGGTTTTAGTCCGTACCAGGGGCTTTATCTGGGATCTGTTGACCTGTAAAGGTCAAGGACCATGCTTTGTTTTAGTAAAGCAGTGATGGATTTAGCCATAATAAAGTTTTTGTTTTTGATACAGTGGAAGATGACTTTTTTTGAAACAGAAATTTTTAAATTACAAAATAAAAGGTAATTCAAATAATGCTTAATTTATCACTTAATGCTCCACCACTTCTCCTTCCCTTTAAAATATCAGTTAGGAGAGTTTGTTTCAAATCCATCCACAAATCCTTCATTAAAGCTTCAGAAAAAGATTATCTTGATACAATTCCTATTGAGTTTGTCATTGGTTTAAAAAACAATATGTTGTGAGACTGCTTTCTATTAACTTCTCTTGTCCAGTCCACTCATTTGATGGTAATATGGGTATGTTTACTTAACCTATACATATTATTGATACGAAGACAAAACTGTGTTCAAAGTGCGCATGTTGCTTCCTCTCTCAACTTTATTGTAATTATTGACAAGAACAATTTACGTAAAGAGAATGTGCCTGGTATTTAGAGAAAAAACAAAAATAAAGAGAACAGGATATGAAGTAAATTAAATCTATTTCCGTGTGGTAAAATAATTACCATTGTTGATTAATAACAGTCATGGCATACTGAATTTCAAAGTCATAAAGAAGGTGTCAAAGGCCAACTCTGCTTTAAGTTGAATATGTAGATCTGAGATAACAGTGTTTTCATTCAATGTCCTCACATGAAATACTTAAAGAGCAATGACAAAACACACATCTGTTGCTTTAAACCAATAATTTAAAAGAAGAGGAGGGCGTCAGATCCAGAAAGAGAAAAATGAACCAAGCAGAGGCTTGAAAAAACTCACAGGAAATGGTAGGGGGAATGCCAGCCTGTCTGCTCTCTCTTTTACGCACATGGCGTCCATCCGGATGAGAAATGTGATTACAAATGAGAGTGTGAGTGAGCGAGCGGAGTGCCACAGCTGGCATAGCATCTGGCTTGGCATATCGTTGCCCGGCCTCGCCCGCTGCCTGTGCGCTCTAATGTGGCTGTCGACAAGCCCATTAAGAAACCATTACTAAATGCGCTGTCTCTGCTCCTCTTCCACGCCTTATAGCACAGGCCCAGGGGAACGCCAGCAACACAGAGGAAAATGAGAGAAGAGTGAGGAGATAGAGAGAACATAAAGACAGACAGAGACAAGCAGAGGAAAGAAAAACTGTGCGAGAGAAGGTGGATTTAACGGGAATACTTCTTCACCGGTGAGTGTCAGTGAGTGTGCCAGAAACTGAAAGTGATGGAGAGCAGACACCCTGAACTGACTTTACACTGAGCCATCAAAACCGAGTTATCTGATGAAGCTTTGCCTTGAGGCCTTGTTGGAGGAGATGTCATACCAAGCTTTCACTTTTGGTGAAGTTCAGACAGGCCTGTAACCTGAAATAAACTGCATAAGTCTCTAAAAAATGACAGGAAAAAAAGATATATTTTTTTATAAATATTGAAAATAAGTTTGGATTACATAAAATGAGTTAATCATGTGAAGAAATATATCAGAGTAAACAGTGTGTCACACCAACTGGGTACTTTGTTCAGTGTTGTTATTTCTATGTGAAGTATGGGGACCAATAAGAGCAACTGTGCAGCAGCTACCCACAGCTGCATTTTATCAGTTTAATGGGGTTTGGAAGTTCAAGGTGAAATTTCACATTTTCTTTAGTCTTTCTTTAACCTTAGCTGCTGTCCAGTAATTAAACATTTGCAGGCCTACACACACTTCATATTTTTCCCTCCATTGCCCTGTAAATAAAGTCACTGCAAAGTCTTGAGTGAAGAAGTTGGACTCAACCGGAGGTCCTCTGGTTAAGTTGAAAAACTAAACCAGGAAGTTTGAATTTGCTGTTTAAAAATTGTTGAAATAATTCTTAATAGGACTAGTTGTTAAATATCCCTAATATTCAGCACATCAATTGACAGTTATTGGAGATGTCCTCTAATCTTGAGTGGGGTGGGAATTGGCAATGATCACGTGGTGCCACCAGCACGCCACATCATCAGTTGTTCGCCCCGACTTCATTGGGTGTTTCGGCCACTTACAACAAGACACCCTCTGTCAGGGTTGGCCCACCACAGGATGATCAGCCCTGGGTGTGTGGTGTACGGTGGCACCATGCGGTCACTTGGCTGCCCATACTGCATCTTTACGTTTCAGCCATAGCCAGTGACTGCTCCGTTCTGCTGTTGTGGCAAGTTCTTTAATTGCCTTCCGTTGGGCCTGCCCTCTGATTCCCAATTCCTTCAGGAGCCTTGTGGCAGACCTGGCTACAAAGCCTCTGCAGCCGACCTCCACTGGCCACACCTTCACATTCCAGCCCCGCCCCTCTGCTTCAGCTGCTAAGTTGGCATATCGCAGTCTCTTTCGCTCGAATGCTTCATCGATGGCATCTTCCCATGGGACGGTCAGCTCAACGATGAAGACACGCCGGCAGGATTTGGACCAGAGGACCAGGTCTGGGCGCAGGTTGGTTGCTGCAATTTCGGGTGGGAAGGTGAGCTTCTGGGTGAGGTCCACCCGCATTTCCCAATCCCGGGCTGCGTTCAGTGGAGTTGGATCCGGAGGAGATGACTTTGTGCCTCTTTTCTCTCCTTCCCGAACGAAGTTTGTTCTCCGTGGGCCTGTAGTCTGGGCGTTTAGAGGCATGGCATTGGTGGTTACCCTCCTGTTCTCAATTTCGGCAGCCAAGCACTTCAACACCTGGTTGTGGCGCCAGGTGTATCTTCCCTGGGTTAGGCTGTTCTTGCAGCCCACCAAGATGTGTTTGAGGGTAGCCGGGGCTGCACACTGGAGACAGGCTGGGTCCTCTCCATACCAGACATGCAGGTTGGTTGGAGAGGGCAGGACATCGTAGGTGGCTCTAATGATGAAGCTTAGCCTGTTGGACTCCATGCTCCATATATCGCTCCACGTGATTTTCTTCCTCTCGACGCCTTCCCACTTCATCCAGCGGCCTTGCTGAGCTTGGGAGACCGCTGTGGCACACCTGGCTGCTTCTTCCTGGTGGCGCACTTCTTCTACCACCATGCGGCGCCGTTCAGCTGGAGTCGCCTTTTGCCATGTCGGTGTTGTTGCTTCCAACCCAAGGCCGCCTCTGCCATGCTGGACATGTCCCACTATATCCCGGTGTCTGAGAGCAGTCTTTGCCACCGCGACTGCTGCAGATGGCTTCCATTTCCTCCCCGTTGCTAAGGTTGGAGCAGCTCCTCTGACGAATGGATCCCGGGATTCAGTGAGAGTCATCTCCAGCCTTGATTTAGCACATTTGTACTCCTCCACTAGGCTTGAGATTGGTAGGGAGAGTGCTCCGTTGCCATATAAGCCTATGCTGCTAAGGCATCTCGGCAGTCCAAGCCACTTCCTCACTTGTGCGTTCACCAGTCTCTCCAGCCGCTTGGCATGGGATATAGTGACCTCATAGATGGAAATTGGCCACATGAGACGGGGCAGCAGCCCAAACTGGAGGCACCACAGTTTCAGCTTTCCAGGCAGAGCTGTGCTGTTGATCTGCTTGAGGCCATGGATGGTATCTAGTTTGAGTTGCTCCAACTGCTTCGAGTCTTTGAGCTCTGCGCTGTACCAGCGGCCAAGGCTTTTGACAGGCTTCTCCAGAACGGTTGGTATTGGCTCGTTGTTGACGTGGAACCGCTCATTGCTGAGCTGGCCTTTGACAATGGAGATACTGCGGGATTTACTGGGTTTTATCTCCATTCGTGCCCATTTGATGTTTCCCTGGAGTTTATCCAGCAGGCGTTTGGTGCATGCGCTTGTTGTTGTTATTGTCGTCATGTCGTCCATATACGCCCTGATAGGAGGAAGACGAAGTCCACTCTCCAGACGTTGCCCTCCAACCACCCACCGGGACGCTCTAATAATGAGCTCCATTGCCATGGTGAACGCCAGTGGGGATATGGTGCATCCTGCCATTATGCCAATCTCGAGCTGCTGCCAGGCAGTTGTATTATCCTGTGTTGTAACGCAGAACTGGAGATCCTGGAAATATGACTTGACCAGTCTTGTGATGCCCTCTGGGACTTTGGTTAACAATTTCTCAAAAGCATTAAAGTAATCAAACATTTTTACGGTCATCTTGTGAAGTCTTTGTCATTTCGAGTTAAATTTTCAGGTTTTAATGCCTGTATTCTGAAAGGACAGAGCAAGAAACTAGAGGAGAGAGTGGGGGAAACATTCAGGAAAGTGGACCCTCTTTGGAATCACACCTGGGCCTGCATAATGACCAAAGACTTTAATACATGTGATGTGTGACTTAAGTACCAAGCCAAACTAATCCTCCAGATCTCTTTTTTAGCAGTGTGGCTCTTCGGATAAGAAACATAGTCTACAACACATGGACATTGTTTCAGCGATATTAGTATTTTTTAACCGAGTTTCACATGTTTATTTTTGCTGTAAATTTGGTCCTTTTGAACGAGTATGTATGTGGTTAATGGTGCTTTTGCAGCCAGCCTCGACTGGACATTCAAAGAACTGCAGTTTTCGGCATTTCTGCATTGGTTTTATTTCTCAAAACAAGAGATTGCTGCTTGGTCAGTAGTGGGACAATATAACAAACAGACAGCAGAAAGCCATGAAATGTGTTGTCTTTGAGAAAAAAGCAGAATGAAGCGAATACCAACTTGGCTGGCAAACTGAACTTTAACATTTTTACACAAACATATAAGGCACCAAAACAAAAACAGTAAGGTATTTTATTTTATTTTTTCAGGCATTGAGGCGGTGTGCAAACAGGTCTACCTTCTTCTGAGGATAGACCTGAACACTTACGGTGGATGTTAAAGGTGGCTTGAACCTCTGGCTTCTGGAAGAGAGGAGAGAGAAAGTGGAGGGGACACAGTTTGAAGGGAAAGAGGAATTTTTAAGGCAAAAAAGAGAAGAGGGAGAAACATTTTAATACTTTTGTCTTAATTTGGATAATAATATCAAAAAAGAATGACAATCCATACTGCAGTTATCGCTTTAACATTGTACCCTATGACAATAATTAAGTAAAAAGGGGGAATTTTTTTCTTGTTCTGAATACAAATAGTGAAGTGTTTTATCATTACTATTGCATGACGTTAAAAATGGCTAAAAAACAATGAGGCCTCTGCAATCATCCTCTGGCTTCCTATGGAGAAAATCCATCCATCCATCCATCCATTATGAGTCATAAATACACTCATAGTGACTGTCTGCAACTTCCTGCTGAGTGTGTGTGTGTGTGTGTGTGTGTGTGTGTGTGTGTGTGTGTGTGTGTGTGTGTGTGTGTGTGTGTGTGTGTGTGTGTGTGTGTGTGTGTGTGTGTGTGTGGTGAATTGCTCTTTTCATGAGTGACAGTGACAGGTTTCTCATCAGGCCCTGAAGCCTCCTCACAGTTAGACCATGTTCATCACAGCTCCCCCCCAAACAACAAACACACACACACACACACACACACACACACATACACACACACACACTCTCACACACGTATGAGCGCACTCTGAACTGGGTGATGGTGTAAAAGGAACACTTTTGTGTGAAACCAGAGCGAACCAGAGACTTAGTTTGTGCCACACATGGGGCGAGTTTGTTTGTGTGTGCGCACCGGCTGCTGGAACTAAGCGGGGCTCTTAATCATGGCTGTAACAGGCAACATTACCAGCAGCGGGGTAATGATGAATACCCAAGTCTCCATGCAAACCCTGACCTCCTTTTCTGCTATGAAGCACAAAAACATTCGCAAACGCATGTGCTTATGTTGACACAAACACAACGTAGATCAAGTCTACATCTCGACAATGAAAAAAAAAAAAAAAAAAAAAACTGCTGGAGCAAATTAAAAATGATTAGGGTCCTGGAGGTGGATCGAAGCTTTTATAGCCAGTCTGGTTGCTTTGGGGACAAATGGCTCATGTTACAGTTTCTCTGTGAGTGAATATGTTATGGTGCAAAATGTTAAAATGTTAAAATGTGAAAATCAATTTGTTGCTTTTAACAATCATTTATGTGATGAGAAAGCTGTGTTATTTCTAGAAAAAAAGGCCTACAAAACCATGCTCATCTTATGCTTGGAGCCAGAGGACAACAGGCCAAGAAAAATTAAAAAGTAAGCCGGAGAAAGAGGGGGAGAAAGAGAGCTGAGGAGAGCAAGAGAACAAGGAATATTAGAGTTTTAAATGAAATGTAAATGAGAGAGAAAGAGCCGGGGAACTAGAAATGAAAGACAAGAGAGAGCAGAGCATAAGAGAGACAGATGGTTAAAAGAGGAATAAACGGGAGAGATTTTTGCGACAGAGTGAGTGAGTGAGTAGCTATAAACGAGTGTAAAGTTTTGATGAAGGACAAACTAATGTCAGGGACTGGGGCGGTTCGGGCTTCCTGCTCCCCGGCTACCACATGTGATCCCGCCTGTCACTCACACTCCATCGCCATGACAATCATCGTAATGCTGACGCCTGGGGGCGGGGACAAGCCTGTCCTTGTAACAAACAGAACCCCTCTGCGGTCTGACGCCAGTGACTGCTAAGAAGATTTCACACTCACAAACATGCACACACTTCTGTCGCACAAACACAGAGCCATCACACAGTAAAGCCACACTGGCAAAAACGCGTGCACACATTACGTTTAAGGGAAATTCCAGATTAAATTCAGCAGCATTTTTGGAACGCTGATGTGATTTGATGTGCCACTATATGGGGAGCAGGCTGTGTGGTTTGTGTAATGTGCAGCATGATTTTGGCCACTCATAAGTCAGTCAGTAAAATCTGATCTTTTGGCATTTTGTAAACACACAGTCAGACAAACAAAACAATAAATAAACAACCCTAAAACTGGAAGAAGGGTGTTATATAAAGGGGTTACATAAAAGCCTGTTTGTGCAGATGAGTTTTGAGGAGCCTCTTGAGACTCACTAAAAGCCCCTGTAAGGAGTTTTTAGCTGGTTATTGAAACAGACTTGTATTAATGCAGATGTCTCAATAGGACCTACAAGAAACAACATGACTATCAGCATAAAGACCGACTGTTTCTATGCAGCTGTTTTTCATATGTGAAACAACTGTCAGCGGGGCAGGTGCCAGTCTTAATTATTAGAATAGGTCATATATTATACTTAACTGTTTCAACAAAGTAGGTGGGGGTCATTTTTGTTTAAAAACAGGGGTACCACTTTGTCCACGAAGATTACCCAAATTCACAAATACAGAAAGTCCCTCACAGGAGCTTTAAGTTTTAGCATATCCAGTGGATATGGGGAGTTGATTCAGAAGAGTATTTACAAAAAATGCTTGATCACTTAATGTTGTGTAGTGAAAGAGATTGAAGGAAAGACAGTCAGGGTGAGATCATCTGAGTGGACAAGGAGTGGGAAAGTGGAAAGCCAGTAGAAGGGTGCAAGAGCAGAGGAGATATGGAGCTGATATCAGTCCTATTTGTTATTTTGTCAGCTGCATTATAAGCTTTGTGTGTTTTCAGAATATTCACAAGTTGTGACACTTACTGAGTATAAGTAGGTGATCATATCAAATGTGTGTGAGAGAGGATTGAGAAAGAGGCAGACAGAGAAACACTCTTTTGTGTGTACGTGAGTGTGTGTGTTTGTGTGTGTAAGCCATGGGGTAGGGAGCAGGGACTTGTCAAGCTGAGGAAGAGATGGCAAACTGGATGGTGATGCCAGCCCTGTGTGACAGCTCCTTCACACACATATGCACACACTCACACGCACACACATAGACACACGCTGTAATCCCCCCAAACCTACCCTGGCCTGCACTGTAGAGCTGTGAAAGCTGGGACGCAGAGAGAAAACGAGACTGGTGGAACCTCCCTTTAACTGGAGGCTGATTAGTGTGTGTGTGTGTGTGTGTGTGTGTGTGTGTGCAGGAAAGAGGTGGTGCACTGGGGGGCGGGTTCAAAATGTCACATCAATTTGTGACTGTGCTGTTTCTGAAAGAGGCTAACCCCACTGCCACTTAAGCTTAGCACAATAGTGAACAGCACACTTGCAGACAGGACACATACATAGACCAAAAATGCACACACTTACAGACACAGAAATGCAGACACGCACCGTTATACAATTTCTACAGTTGTCAAATTCCAACTCCTTTATAAAGTGTGGCAAAACTTTGTCCCTTTTAACTGCTGCTGCCCATAATTGGTTACCAATTCCGGCCTGGAGGCATGGATAAAACCTGTTTCCTAATCTAAACTTCTACATACCAGGGCTGAACAGCTTATTACAATTTAACAGTTATTGATATGAGCATTAGGAATATGTGTTTGATTAAACGTCTCCAGCCTTTTTAGGCCTCACATGAAGTCACAGTCAGTAAAAAGATATCATGTTAATAATATAAACTCAAGATTCCAGTCATAAACTGTAGTGCAGCTGCTCACTACGAGCCTAGACTGTAGCTCCAAGTAATTGTTGTTGCCATGATGCAATGATGATGAAGAAACTGAAGCCCGCTGCAAATGAAAAAAGAAGCGGTGCAGATTTAAAAAAAAAAAAAAAAAGCCATAACAAAAGGTAACGATGCAATGAAAAAAAAAGTGGCGAGGCAAAAAAAAAAGTTACTTACTGCGAAAATAAAAGTATGCAATTAAAAAAAGCCACAACAGAAGTGAGCTGCCGGGGACCAATAATATAAAAAAGGTGAGAGGTTTATGTACTTAATTCTAAGAGTAAAGCAACCAAGCCGTTAAGCTACCGAACTCAATTCTCCTCTAGTGGGTGGTCTTTCGGGGCGTAGTGGGTTTCCTGGTGTAGAGTTAGCCGAAGCTAACACTACACCGGCATCCACCAGTTCAACTTCATATCAACTCAGGTGCAACATGGCCTAACCAAATGACACATTGAAAAGCACACAAAGCAAAATCAAACTATAACTTTTCCACTTACTTCTTTGCTCGTCTTCTCGCCGCCGTCTTCTGTGCCTAGATCGTAAAACACCGGTGCATCACCATTATTGGTCCCCGGCAGCTCACTTCCGTTGTGGCTTTTTCGGGTTTATTTGCATCCTTTTATTTTTGCAGTAAGTAACTTTTTTTTTTTTTTTTTTTGCATCGCCACTTTTTTTGTGTCGTTAACTTCCTTTGTGGCTTTTTTTTTTTTTTAAATCTGCACTGTTTCTTTTTTTATTTGGACCTGGCTTCGGTTTTCTTTTTTACTGTATCGGTAACTTCAGTTATGAGTTCTTTTTTTTTTTTTCCCATTCTTTTTATTTCCAGCAGTGGCGGTTCTCGGCCCCCGTACTGGACCTGGCAGAAACATGCTGCAAACACAGGTATTGTGTAAAACATAAGAAGCAGTAGGCTTTGCGTCAAAGTCAACACACATGCTTTTCTTTGTCAATCATATCTCATATTATGATCACAGAAGTGAAAGATTTGATCAAATATTACACATTTTCCTCTTACTGTGCAGGCCCAGCACACACACACACACACACACACACACACACACACACACACACACACACACACACACACCACTGAGTTTGATGTCATCTTGAAAATCTATCAAAGCATTTTACTCAAATTGCATTTTAGAAGGGTGCTCCACAGTGCTTCTGAGCCCAAGGCGCAGCAGCCCCAACACAAGGGAGGTTGCTGGTTAAAAACCCCCTAGGGTGACCTGGCCAGGGCCCCAGACCACTTTAACCACTCGTCTCCATTAACAGGCTCCCAGATATCATTATGCTCCCAGGGGAGCAGGCGTGCTCTAACCAACCATTTACCCTCTCTCCTCTATTTCTCTCATCTCTCCCCCTCTCTACCATCATGTTACCCAATGAAAAAAGACAGCAGAGAGAAAAAATATGAGATTGATTTATTTGCTTCACTGTTCTTTGGGATGGAGTCCTCTCCCCCGTTTTTCTCTCTCTCTCTCTCTCTCTTTCTCTGCAAACTGAAACCAATTAGCGAGCAGAGCACTTGTAGCGGGGAATGTAGGGCAAGCGAGGAGTAATAAAAAAGTATTGACTTTTCTGTGACTGTACGCGGCGTGAAAGGGGTGCCGCGGCCTTGTCCGACATGAAAGGAGCTCCATTAATTTCACTTATTTCACCCAGGCCCCTGTCAGGAGGCCCTAATGCGTCCCAGGCACACTTCTCACATACAGGCACTCAGACAGCCTGATGCAGCTCCAGCCTGGTTACCAAATGAGTTTAAATTATATATCAGAGCAAAAGAGAGAGGAAGAGGGTGCAAGAGAAAGGAGTAATTTCTAATTCCCTGGTTGAGACACAAAACAAGGCCTTTCATACGCCGCTAATTTTGCCTCAACAACTTTACCTTTACACTCTCTTTCACCTCACTTACTTTTTCTTGTTCCAAATCTTTTAAAGGCACATAAATGATTTAAATGCTATTACATTATCTCAGTTTATCTGCCTGAGAGTGCTGAGAAATAGTGAACCAAAATCAACAAGTAATCTGAACTGACACAGATTTATTATAACATTAAAGGGTAAAAAAAAATGTAGTCACTTCCTAATCTTGCTTAATCAGCTGTCTAGAGGCACATCTAGCTACAATGAAACTTACAAAAAGTGTCAAACAGTCCACGTAAGTCTGGCCTCCCATTACACGGTTTAGACGGTCAATGATTGGTGGCTGCCCTAATTTGGAGCTTGTGGTTATTTTTCCAAATAGTCTCAACCTATGGTGTTAGGATAACAATATAATTGCTCCTGATTTCAGGTTGAAGTTTCCACATTATATGTGATTGATGATATGATACCAGGTAGGACTACCTCTGACAGGGTACCCACATTTACTGGTGAGAGGAACTGACTGGAAGTCAGGAAGGAGAACAACTCAAAGCCCGTAGAAAATAAACTCCTTGCCCCAGCACTTTGTTTCCTTCAGAGTTAGGGAATTACATATATGCAATTTCCATGATCTTGTTGATATTCATATACCACGCAAGAGAGGAAAAAAGCAAAGATTTCATTTTGACATTTAAGACGGCTTGATTTATAATTCAGACACCAAGTAACATAAAAAAGCAGTCCACCGTCAAACTTTGATCTCCAAACCTCACCCAACTCACACAGAAGGTCAGGGGTCCAATCCCTCGTCCGCTGATGTCCACATGCCTCTACAAGCAGTGTATGAATGTGCTGTTAATAGTTGAATTTGACATTAAATGGATAACACGGCACTAAGTGATTAGAAGACAAAAAAAGCACTTAATCAAAAAATACAAAGCAAACTCCAGCCTGCCTCTTTTATTTGAATAGACATGGAACAAACTATGCAATCAAAATATGTATCTTTTTGTCCCCTCAAACATCATTAACGCTACATTGATCCACGTCCACCTATTGACCTTCCTGAGAGTTTAAATAGTAGTTAGTTATTGTTGACTTTGTTGAAAATTACAGCTGCTTAAGCACCGTATGCATCATATAAAAAAAGCAGGGGAGGACTAGTAAACAAAAATGTAACCAGAACTAACAGATGTATGTTTCACAAGAACTCTTCACAAGAAGCTTTTCTGGATTTTTATTAATTTGTCAACTAAGTGTGTGTTTTGGTTTGCAGAGAAGACTTTAGCTTATCCCAACCTCACAGTCTGGATCCAAATGTGAAACATGCCAGTGTCTGTTAGGAGGGGTATTTAGGCTTCACTTCCGCACAAGAGGAAGTAAAGACATGTCGTCCATCTTTATGGACAATTGTCCAACTATGTCTGCTACTTCCTGCTTTAGCACCTGCTCAACTTTGCCACCTGTAAAGAAGAAAAACACAACCATGTAAAAATTTAGTAGAAGCTCTGCTCTCTGGTCCTGTTACACGCACATTTTCTCCTGGAAACACATTTTGTCATCATTTGTACCATTTAGATCCAAAATCGTCATCTGATGTATAGTTCGCTGCATTTCTTTGTTTCTAAACGATTAATCCAAAACTTGTTTTAGTGAAACTGTTTGATAATAAAAGGCTCTAGAAACTTTTCTCATCTGTCTCTTGGGGTTTGTTTGCTGTCATCGGGTAAATTTCATTTACCTGGAATTTTAACAAAGTTGTGTTCTTGTGTGTGTGCGCACGGCCTCTTTGCATAAGCACGTGTGAATGTGAATGCCGACCTGCCTGATGAGCGTCTGTGTGTGCATGGAAAAGAGCGAAGAGTGAGAGGCTATCTGCAGACAGAAACTAATCAGTGTGTGTGAGATAAGAAAGCTGCCTTTATGGTGTATGGTAATCAGCACCCCCCCTCGGCCTGCCACCGCCATGCATAATCACCATGACTCATTCACATGATTGATGAAATATGCGTCTGTGAAATCCGAGCTGCTTTTGTTATCATCCTGTTTTTCCCCTCTCACCCCCACTCTCCTTCCCTTTTCTCTCAATCTTTTTTTGTCTTGTTCAATCTCTCTGTCTCTCTAAATATCTCTCCCCCTCCTCTCTGCAGTGGCCAGAGATGTTTGGAACCATGTACAAACAAGAAATTACACACACAGCATGGGGTCCCTTCTTCAAACTATGCACACACACACAGACACACACATGCCACACACAGTTTTCTCTCTAGAGGTAGTAATAAAATGGGCAATGGATGCATAAGAAAAGATACATCCTCTGAAAAGGAATATGAAGAAAGCAAGAGGAAAAGATAAGTGGAGAGATCAGTAAACAAGAAGACATATTAATTGTTCTGTCCTGCAGAGAAGAGTTGGCTGGATTAGCGGGGATGAGAGGGGAAAGAGAGAGAGAGGGAGAGGGGGAGATGGAGTGATAGATGGTATTAGATGGGTAGATGCTTCAGAGAGCTCTTGTCATTGCAACTGCATTAATCAAGGAACAGATGCAGAATTCCCAACTAATGCAACATGAAGAAACGAAGAGAGGAAACCACGACAATAAAAAGAAGCTGCAAGTTCATACAAGGACACTGCTATCAAAAATAATTTATGGCACAGTTAACATGTAACAAAAAGAAAAGAAAATAAGCTGCAAAATATATATATGCAGTATAACCAGGTAAAGAAATCCAGAGCTGTAACTGACCCACCAAACCCCTTTGTGTTTTAAATAGCATATCTGCTATCTTCCAACATGAGTCAGTTTTGATAAAAATTAAGATGCAGTACTGGAATTGTGACCCCACAGACACAGCAGCAAAAGGGTTGGCAGCAAACTCAACTCCAAACTAAAAAACAGTTTTCCTTATTCTTGTCTGGCATATGTTTGATTGCTCTTTAATTTAGACTTCTTTGTTGTTTTTTTTGTTTTTTGTTTTTTTGCAGATTACTTCTCTCCTATAGCCTGAAGTTTTTAGGTCAAATTCAACTTTACCTGCCAGAGGGCCCTTTAAAGAAAACAGAGAAAAACAGCAAACACCTAGCTCATGCAGGTAGTTCAGCTATAGGACCTGGCTTTGGAAATCTGAGGAAATCTGATTCAAATTTTGTATCTGCAAAGTAGAGTCATCCAACAAGTTCATGACTGTACAATAAACTGCATGCATGCCCACATCATTGAGACCATTACCACTTACAGCCTCGACTAATTCTTGCCGGAAAATTCTGGGGATTAAAAATCCTCATAATCTCTTTTTGAGTTCTGATAAGTTTTCAAACTCAGATGTACTAACAAGAGCTCTTCTGAATACTACTTGAATATGTCTTAAACCCTTTATATATTTCCATCCTGATACATTGCCTTGACTAAGCTCTGCTGTCAACTTTGTGCCTTTATACAATTGTTTAAAGGAGTGATGTTGGAGAGTTTACTTTTATCCAAATGGGAGGCAACAGGAGAGACATGTAACAGGGCAGTATCATCACTTAGCATCACCCATGCACTAACAGTAAACCACAGCAGCAGCAGCAAGTGCTTTAAAAACAATGACGGTGAATGAACAACACACACTTATCTGCCTTTACAGACTGTTTCGACTCCAGCAAAGTTACTCTGCTTTTTGATTAACCTGATTTAAATGACAACAGCAGATGTAAGTGATCTGCTCCTCTTGTTGGCTGTACAAATGATAAGTCATCAGGCGTCACACATCTGTTCTGCCCAGACAGCTCTGCTATTTTACACTAATACAGTCTGGCTTCTGTTTTTCACTTCAATGCTGGCTTAGCAGTGAGATGATATTACCCCATCATTAAGCCTTTGTGACATTTACATTGACAACAAGATGTCACAACTTCCTCCTTGAACTGCAACGTAAAAAGGGTTTTTGAAACCTGACGATCTCCCTGTAGTGGTTTTCATATGTTTATGGGTGTCAACCAGTATTAAAACCAGCAGTTAATAGCCACTTTAGTTTTGTGTGTCAAAACTATCACCAGGATAACTCCACTTTTCAAAGTCTTGTGGAGCCTGGTTTTGCAGTAGAGGATACTCCCACCTTTACAGGTAAAGACCCACAGTTGAATCATCGAATAGAAAACATCTCAGTCAAATGTTCACAAAGGGTTAATCTGAAAATACAAAAAATGCAGTTTAGTTTTAGTTTAACCAACTTTGCACAGGAGGAACCCTCTGTTCAACCCCAGCTCTCCGGAGAACACAGCATGATTCAAAGCAAATGTACTGACTAATGCTACGTTCCTGTTGTACACGGAAGTTGGGATTTCTGAGCTCCGAGTCGGAAATTCATCTGGAACGCCCCCTGAAACGAAGAGTCGGACGATCCTAACCAACCCTGACTTGACGACAATGTCATAATATAAGATGGCAGCGCAGTGTATCAACAGTAAAGAGTAACAGTGAAAGCTCTCGTAATGTAGTATTTATTCGCACTTCTGTTTTGTTTCGGTGAAATTAAATAAGTGGTATATGTTGTACTGCCCTACCCTACCATTTACCCTCTCACTGCCCTACCCTACCATTTACCCTACCACTACCGTTACCCTACCACTTACAGCCCTACCATATGTTGTACTGCTACGGTGTTTGTAGAGTAAAATACTGTGTTGTGCGTTGTTTACAACTGGTATAACTAACAACAACTAACAACAGCTGACAACAGCTAACGACAGCTGACAATTGTAAGCAACAGCTAACTGTAGGCGTCCGTCTTGGTTTTCTGACTTGTTAACTGGTACGCCATCAACTTGGGTGTAACAACATTCCGAGCTCCGACATCCGACTTCTGGTGTAACTGGAACACAGCATAAGGACTCACACCTCACACATCTTTAAACCCACAAAAGAACAAAAAATGATGTCAGGGCTACCCCTGCTACCTGTTACACTTTATTCACTTTTCAGAACAATTGGATTGTCCATGTTCTGCCATAACTGCCATCTTAGCTCCAGACAATCCTAGTTTAATGTGGTTAAACAGGGACAGTGTACTAGGGGAGCCCATTGGTCATTGTGTGTGATTCTGGGGCATGATTGGTGTGAAGATAGGGCTGAGCAAGAAAATGATTTAAACAACGCTATAACAGATTAAATGTTAAAAATGGGGACCTGCCACATTCCATCCACACACCCTTTGCAATGTTATGACACTAGCTGCTGTTAGTTTGCACACCCACTCAGGGGGTTAAAAAGGCTTTGGACCAGACTTTTAGGTCTTAAACTCATATACAATATCAGGAAAGGACTGGGTGACACAAAGCCTGGGAAGAAGACTAGGACTTCCACTGATTTGGATTGAGAATACACGCTCCAGGAAGGTGGGGGCTGAGACTCGGGATAAGATTAAGACTAGGGCTGGGGCTGGTGAATTAAGGCCCCCAGCCTCAGGGTGCTATTACATATCTATAATGAGAAACGGAGACGAGGGGGGCTTGTCTTTGCACCTCGGCACACCTTAGATTAAATATGCACAATTCCCATGCAAAACGGGCAAGGAACAGCCGGCACCAACGCTGCTGTCTAATCCCCCGTGCTGGAGTTGTTTCAGCCAGGGTTAACAGGCTCATCAGTCAACACAGACTGCTTAGCACAGGACATCAAGGCCATTTGCAGGTTTAAGTGTTTGTGATTGCTTCCCCTTCCAGAGCAAACCAGCCCCAACCCCCCCACACATGCTCCCTGTGTTGGCTGAGCATATAAGCTTGCAATAAGACACACAGGCATGCATATATATCAACCATCTAATAACAGAGGTAAAGGAGTGGCCTTCATATTCACATTAACAAACGGACAGAGGGGGGTGAAGACTCAGACAGACCAACAGACGGACCAATAGACACGCAGAGGCAGATGGATAGATAAACAGAAGAGATAGAGGTTATAAGATGAGCAGCCAAAAGAATAAACGGACATCATTTTGGAAATTATTACTAATTCTGATAAGAGTTAAAACCGGAAGAAACAAAACATGTAAAATGCAAAAGGAATTAGACAAGGCACAAGATTTAAAACACACCTACCGCCTCCTCTTTGAAAATGTACTTTTGCTCTTTTTGACAGAAAAACACACATGTAGGTCGACGTCTGCTGTCTGCTCTATCCTCTGTGTCCATCTACACAGCAGATTTATCACATTCATTTACATTTCACAGCCAGAGTTTACTTCTATCACCAACACACTGCTATATGAGAGGGCTGTCATGTTCCTCAAGCCTGTCTGTGTGTGCGTGTGTGAGTAAGTGTATTATTCAACTATTTGATAGCACATGCTCACCCTCACACAGACACGTGCAGAAAACAACACAGTCTGTGAAGAAAAGCAGCGGGGGGCATTAAAAAGTTGCAGCCAGGTACCAGCAGATGAAGAAGATAGAGAAAAAGAGAACAAGTTTGCAAATAAACAAGACAGCAAGAGAAGGAGAGAGTGATGGCAGGAGATAGAGATAGAGATGGGCAGTGATTATACCACACTACATACTGTATGGTTCACTGGAGCATATCTTCACAGGGACAGGCGGTCCATTAAAAGCACAGACATCCTTATCCTGCTTGTCTGCCTGCTTTCTCTTACATCCATGTGTATACCAAGAGGAAACTATCTGAATAAATCTCAAAGGAATCCAGTCTCGGCTTTAAATTACCATAAAAGACAACTCATTTTTATACAGTAGGTATCGTCGATTTTCTGGTTAGATTGTTTTAGTTGTCTCTCTTCTATCTGGATTAAATCTATAACAATTTGTAAATGCTATTTATTAGATGAGAGGTTAATGGTTTCATTTAGATAGGTGGTATATTTTCTGAATTAAAGCCTCCCACTCAGTTTTTGTTTTGAATTCATAAATACTTGTGTGTAGACCCACAGAGGCCCAGATGAAACAAGATGCATCACTACTGATATGCTAGCCTCCTATTACACACAAAATACTGTTAAGCGTTACACTTACTCACTTAAGGTATTTGCATGGAAGACTATAACACTAATTCCCTTGTCCTCTTTTCATGCTGTTATACTGATATATTAGAAAAGCTGTATTACCAACCAAATGTACAATCTGAGATGTTGGTTGGTGTTGGTTCTTTTTTTGTGATTGTTTTCTTTTTCAACTCAAGTACCAAAGCAAATGTTTTAGAAAGACCTTAAGTTTTAGTGGGCCATAAGGTTGTTGTTGGAAGTGAAGAAATCAATCTTGACTGTTTTGAATGACAAATTGCCTCCACTGTTTTTTTTTTAATCAGCTGTCAACAGGAGCTTGACATAAATTCACATAGTGGAAAAAAATGGCCTGGAAGTGACCCGACTCAATCTGGTCCAGAGAGGTCCTAGTGCATTAAATATAAATAATAAAATCTAATGTCATTAATTCTCACAAAAAAATGATTACTTCCCATTTAATTGAGCTTGTCAGTTTCATATCATACCATGTGCACATGGCCCTTATTGTTACTCTGTATGCAGGCCTCACAGTGCAAAATGCTACCCTAATGGAAGCAAAGTGTTAGGTTAATTGATAAAGCTGAGGTCTGGAGCAGGAAGGAGTGTGGCAGGGAAAATGTTTTACAGCTGTGCAAATGAAGGGGCTGCAGAGTTTTACACACGCCGTAAAATGGTTATGGAGAATTAGCGTTTTTTCTTTCTAGACATTAATGCAGCTCAGCTTGTGAGATGGATGGACTTGACACCATCAGAAAAACATACACAGACAGACACAGCTGAGGTGATTTCATGCACTTCCTGTCTGCTTTGCTTAATTCCATTGTCTCAACTTGTGGCCGATTTCAGTCAAGGTATTAATTGCTAATGAGTAGTGTTCCCATAAAACAGATTTGTCATACATAGGTTGTATAAGTCATAGTGATACATTATGGCTGGGGCCATTAGGAGTGAGCCAGCATGGGTGTAGATATGCTTTTCTTGTCCGTGTTGCCTGAAGCTTCAAATCCACAATGCAATGACAATAACAAGGCTTCTCTATAGTAGATGGGAGGAGACTAGTCAATGTGATGCATGTTTGACTGTAATGAGAGTCTATCTGTAGTTGGGCTATTAGCAATGGTCTACATATGGAAGAATACTGGAGAGTGTATGATTGACTTAGACTTCTATATGCATGTGTTTAGGAAAAAATGGATGTCTGAGCACATGTGTTTTGTTGCACACCAGTGTGTGCTGGATCTGATCAGATGCTTCTAAAAGTTGTGATTGGTGTCAGTCTAATGCAAGGGGAAGGAAAGGCTTGGAGCACAGAGGGACACAGACGTGACCACTCACTTTAGTGAACTTGATTAGCACGTAGCCGTCTAATTAGCTCGACTCTATGGTTACAGGCAGTACCGCTGGTGACATGGCCTAACACAATTACAAAATTAGCATGGACAGAGAGGGCTTTCCCACAACAGCATATAAAATTTGTTGTTACTGGTGCATTTGGCTGTTGCACATGCTTCAAACCACTGACAAGTTTAATTTTATAGTGGAAAATATTTTTTTGGTGTAATAAGTTTGTTTTATTTTCTCAAGGTAAAGACAATTCAGCTGATGAAACCTTTGCTCCCTTTATGGCTTAATCAGTTATTGAGAAATCTAATTACCTTACTTTTGCAATACCCTTGTGGCCTAAATTCCAAAATCATGCGACCAACCTGCAATAAATGAAATCAGCTTTATAAAGTCGTAAGTTATATCATGTTATTTATTTATTGATTCTTTTAAATGTGTCACAATCTGGTGTGTGTTTTCCTTTACCAATTTTTCCACTTCTAATGAAAATGCTGTTTTGCTCTTTCTTTAACTCTATCAGTTTCACTTTTTCTTGGCTAGTCAGCTTCCATATCTTTGAAAAATGCTAGAAAGAGAGATCTCCTCTAAGTCATGTGAGGCTCATATTAAACCGTGGTTTGGGAGAGGTTAGATGAGGTTAGCTTCTGCCACAAATCCAAGCTCACTGCATGGATGTGCTGGTACAGCTAGGACATCAGGCAAAAATAACTGTCAAAGTCAAGTCAAGCCAAAATTCCCAAAAAGTAATAACAGCCTGGGGTTAATTGGTGGTGCATCAAAAACAATGTATGTTTTCATCAAAACAGATAAATTACGAGAGTTAAAAATGAGTAAAGGGCCTCAAGTGTACATGCAGGGACTATGAAACCAAGTCCTTTGTAAGGAGGTAACTAAAAGTTCACAGGAGACAGAGAGGATGCAATCGAAACACATCCTTATCAGCCTAAGCTACAGCCAATGAGTTCTTTGAGAACTCATTGAACTCATAGAAGTAAAATCATGCAAAGATGTGACAATGCCTGTGTGAGTGCCTGAGTTCATAAGCTGGGTTACTCCTGCATTGGTAGACTTTCTTACTGTGCTACAGATGGCTTAGATAAATAAAAGGCCAGGAGTCACAGTCTGATTCTAGGGCTTGGTTTTGACCGGGTGAAGCCTGGTGCGATCTGCCAAGAGCTGTGATGGTAAAAGCCAGAGAGTCATGGTCTGAACTCTGCAAAAAAAAACTGGGCTATGGTAATGATGAGGCTTCAGGCCTTGTAGAGGGTTGAAGCAAAGCTTAGGGTGATGATTACAAACAGGGCTAGGTAATGTGGCAGAGGCTGGGTGAGAGGGCTGTGGCTGGGGTTAGAAAATAATTAGGAGCATGGCTGGATAACATAGCTGGATGATGTGGCTGGGGGGAGGCAGGCTGGGCACGGTATGAAGATGATGAGTACCAGGGTTGTGTAGCGATTTGAAATGAGCCTCACAAGGCCGCACCAAAATAATACTGCAGCGATTGGAATTTATAATAAATGTCTGAAGATTAATAATCTCAAATTATGACATTTATGCACTCGTTGAAAGGGGCACCACCCACCCTTAATGGTGGGAAAATAAAGAAAACAAAAGTTTAATTCAGAAATCAAACATCAAGTCAGTTTTAATTAATCAGTCTTAATTAATCAGTCTTAATTAATCAGTCTCATATCTTAAGTCGAAATTCTAATTTCAGGGACTCCACTTCTGGAAGAACACTAACAGTCAAGAACTTAGAAAAATAATGATCTGTTTATTACAGGATAAATGATGGTACAACACACATGCAATAAATGATGATAAGATAATGAAGATAAAATAATAATAAGTGAATAAATAAAGATTCTGAGTCAGGCTAGGAGCACTAAAGTTAATGATAGTGAGTGAATATGCGCTAACATATTAACCTACACTAACTTTAGTGTCGAGATAAACTCGGATGTGGATTTGGAGGAATCTAAGATTGCCAGAATAAGAGGATATCTGAGCTATGAACGCAGGAAACAGCACCAGCCCTCTTTAGAGCTCTGGAGGTTTGCATACTTAAGTGAGACTGGTCCTTGGAGAAGATGGAGCAGGTTCCGAAGGTCCGGGGCTACTGGCGGTTCGAGCGGTTCAGCTCAGAAGACGACTGAAGTCAGCCGAAGGATGAGCCAGGAGTTGCAGCACTCAGGCCCGAAGCAAAAACCAGCGCCTGTGGATCCTGTGGATGCTCGTTTGGGTACTTCTTTAGTCTCACTCAAAAACTCTGGCACAGAGGATGACCTGGGCCTGTTGGATTGCGTTCGGAGGTGACTTTGAAATCACGCAGAAAACTCAGAAAGACGAGGCTCGAAGAGCAGAGAAAACTTTCAAAAATGGCTTCGCGAAATTAAAGAAAATCAATCAAAGGCTTAATCTTGAATTGCTATGTGCACAAAAAGTTGAAGTTTCAAAACTTGAACTAAGACGATGTTAAAGAAAAATCAACGTGAATCAACACGTGGCGTAAAACTTAGAAGACTAAGAAAAAGTTCTAAGAGAAAACAAAGAAACGCACCACAGAAGGGTGTGGACAGAAGAGAAGGGGCATAAGAGCCGGGGACAAGAGAGTCAGCAGAAGAGCAGAAGCATAAGAGAGATAAGAGAGCGAGCAACCCCACTCCACTGGTTTTATCTTCTCACACTGGGAGTGTCTGAGGAGAAAGAGGAGGGGTCATCGGGTCTCTGATTATTTGATCTAACTTATTCTTTTGGCTGGTAAAAGAGTCAGATCTGATACTCACTCACTATGATTAATATCATTGAATGCTTGGTTTCATGATAAATAATTTGATACTAAACACATATGAATGAAGTGTAGGATCACATCAAACATTCTCATTATGTTTTAAGTATCACATTGAACATGCTAAATTACTCTGAAATGAAACAGATAGTAACACATGGAAACTGTGAACAACAAAAGAGTAAACACATGTGAATGAACGTCATCATGATTAATAATGGATTCTAAATACTCACATTCAGATTATTCAGTGACATTATAACCACCTAATGGTTAAGATACTAAATAAATAACTAAAATATAAACCAAACATTTCTAAACTATTTCTGTTACTTAGAGTAAACTTAGGATTCATAGTCAATAAATTTAACTCTTAAAAGTTCATGAAACAGTCTGAAAAGCTGTTGGTCTAAAGAACTAAAGAATAAGGATTTATTCTGTCAGATAAGATAACTTGGCTTCTGAAGCACATAGAAAAACGGGAAACATCTCATTTTAACACAAATTTCATGATTAGACAGATTAGTACATTGCTGAATGCGTAAGATGTCATGATCAGTCATTTGTATTCTTTCACCAAAGGAATGCAGTCTTTATCAGTGTATGGTCGAGCAGGGTTTTACGACCGAGGTCTGGAGGTCAGTGTCCCCCCTTATCCTGGAGTCCGTATGTTCACACACTTTAAGACGCTAAATCTCAAATGGGAGATCTGGGTTGAGACGTTAATGTTTATTTAGATGGTCAGTAATGGAGTCAGTTTGAAAGGTAATAAAAACTCTGTCTCTGTTCGCCGAACTGACCAATCCTGAAGATTCAGAGGTTTAGTCAACCTCCGGTTGGGTCACTTATTTAACCTGAAAGTGCAAACACGTCTGGAAAGATTTATATCCTGTTTCCTGGGACCAGATAAGGAAACTTTCCTGTAAGGAATGTGTGGGTTTCACATCCAGGGTTGTCTTGATTGCTACAGTCCCCCCTTCGTCACGGTGGTCCTGTCCATGGAGCATCGGGACGACGAGTAGACAACCATGAAGCAGCAGCAGGTGTATGCAAATAGGACTGATGCGTCTCATCATCAGTATGTGAATCACTAGTACTGCTTTGAGATAAAATTAAGCATGCATTAAGCTATCAAATAAAATCGTCTAGTTGTTAGAGTTTTCTCAGTTAACTATTGGTAGACTAATGTGAAAGAAAATCTCCTAATTTTCAATATTAATGAGATTTAGAAAAACACGATTTAGTGTGAATGCTAACTGGATCTAAAGCTATAGCTGTTTTTCATGCTTGCTGGAGAAGTCTGAAAGTTCCATTTCAGTTTCAAAAATGGTTAAGACTTAGGTGGAAAAGAAATGTCTGCTATAGACATATTAACCATCTGTGTATGAGCATAGTCAACCTGAATCACAAACATCAAAAGTTTACTGCACAGAGTTTCTCTTAAACTTTGTCTGTTAAACTTGGGGAGGATGCTCTTATTGGTTTGACTAATTATCTGCTGTTGAGTCTGAAATTTGTCAATCTGAGTCTTAATGACAGAAATTTCAGCTTTTAATCTGTTCATGGGATATTTGACAGCTGACAAGCTGACCATATTGACAGAGGAGAGACGAATGCTAACAAAGAAAGCAGCAACTGGGATTGCAGTCATCAATGTATCACCACAGCATTTGGATATCTTATTGGAGTCATTTAGCTTTGGCTAGGTGACTTCTGCTTTCGCAGGACTCACACCTTCATGACTCCACAGTGTTAATCTCAGTGGTTAGCTGAGTAGTCATGTTTATTCACCTTCAAAGTGGATGAAACCGATTGAGGTGGATAATAAGATCGTCGTTTCTGAGAGTGTGATTTACTCTGATTCTGCCAGTCATTCACCCCACTTTGGCGGTGTTGATGGTTTTTCCTTTGTCTGGGACAAAACCCACCGTGACGGGAGTCTGAATAACAACAGTTGGTCTCAAAGTTTACCTGGCGTTGGCCTGTGTCAGAACTGGGCCTTGGTGTGTAACTTTGACCTTTGTGAGTTTGTTGAGGTCGAAAAGGTTTTGGAGGCCTGGTTAACCACTCATTTGGAGGCTTATCGGAGCCTGAAAATACACAATCTGAAGCTTCGTTCAGCTCCATGGGCAGTGATTTTGTCTCCATAGCCAACAGAGTAACAGGCTCTGCTTTCTTAGCCAAAGTTTGTCGTTGTTTGGCAAAACCTTTTACAGCAAGTTCACGAAGCTGTCGGCTAGTCAAAGTGTTTGGACAAGCTAAGACGCCAAGGTGATGACTGGTGGTAGGGTGGAGGTTCTGGACGAACAGCGTTTTGAAGTTCAAGTCCTCCTCCATTTCTGGTTCATTTCGGAAACCAAAGTAAGCTTCGCGTAAGCGGTTGTAATATTGTTGGGGAGGTTCTGATCTCCCTTGTTTAATAGACAGAGCAGCAGAAAGGCCTGTCTGGGTCAAATGATCAGAAAACTCTTCAATTAATGCTTGGCAGAGCAAGTCATAATTATTTCTGACATGATAAGGCTGTCGTTCAAGGAAACTGCTAACCTCTCGACTTGACGT